TTTGACTAATAACTAACACAATAGCTACCTACCAAATACGCTCTTGATTTGACACATTATTTTGTCTTTTATAGAAATTATTTATTTTAATTCACTGAATTTGCAGCCATAGTTACTTTCAAATTCTTTATGGTATAAATTACTTCTTTATAATCAAGCAGCAATAAGTTCTTATATTAAGCTTCTGACAATTTCGTATTCTGTGGTACAGGTACTCATAATCGAAACCAGTTGTTCCCGTTAAATCCGTCCTTGATTCATAACCTAGCGGGGTGGGGCGTCTTCGACCGACATGCCTCTCGCCACAGACCGGTGGAGGCTAATTGCACCCGTGATCATTAACTACCAGTAGGTGCACTAACGACCTTGGTATACCATACGCTGTGGTTGCACTTACTGCTGGTACCAACTAACAAACACGCATATTGTCGAGGTCGAAATGAATAGTGTCCAATAAAACTGCTGATTGTTATACGTCATTATAAAAAAGGTCACATTACGATCGTGCACCAATTATAATTTTTCTCAATTTTTGATTTAGGATACCAAGGTGACAGGGTTTCTATTATATTTTATCAGCGAGCGGTCCCAATATGTTTAACACCGTGCCAAAATTTTCTTTAAATATTTTATTAAATTATATCTATCTTTGCTTGCTTGAAGTAGTTTTAAAATGTCTAGACAGATTGCGGTCATGTGATGCAATAACTAACATCGCATGTTAGGAGTAATTTCGTTCGGAGCTGCTGTCGTACAAAATGATATTGACCCTTTTCGACCCTGACGAAGGTGTTTGTAGGATTTTGGGTCAGTTTTTTATCGATGCATCTAGCCATGATTCGTGTAAAAATAATATAAAAACCAGAACAATGTAAATAAATACGTGTAAACAACCTTTGCAAGTTAAATTTCTTATAGGAGGGTCAAAAAATGTAGAGGACAATAATCAATTCCGTCATCATCACCTACTATTGCGTGATTACCATGTCATCATCTCTGTTAAACATCCTTTTATATATTTGCAGTTAGCACATCGTAAAATGTCCAGATAATGGGAAAATGCTAAATTATGCGCGATGAGTTTGCGTCGGCGCAGCTGACGCGTTGATGTCTTTTGCACGCGTTAGCATGCGCAACTACATTTACTAGTCCTTTAATCTACTTTTACTTTTAAACTTGTGTGATTGTATATTATTAATATTACTTGTTTCTATAAAACAATAATATGAAATAATATCAGGGCCATTTCCACGTATAATAAAATAAAGGCTGACACTTAGTCAGAAATGACATGATTTATTTACTTAAAAGGTATTTGTTACTTTTAACTTGGCCTTGCCTTAAAATTACTATAGATACTATAATAAAACTCTTCGGTTTTATCCCCATCTAACTACATGTAATACAACTTCCTACTTAAAACATTCCTTTGGTCTCAAACCAACAAAAAACAAAGTAAGTAGTGTTATGAGGTCCGAAGCCACCTCGCTATATTAGGAAAAAATGTATCAAATTATGTGGATGCCGTGCGCATGCATCTATTGTCCATTCCTTCTTTACTTTGAACATGGATGAGTATAATTGGGTGAGGTTTTGTATCAACCTTCACTTCTCGAAGCTCTCTCGAATTATAATCATATTGTAATAATACGTTTAGTAAAAAATCATTAATGAATGACATTCCTCACTAGGCTTACTATACAAAAAATATTAGTAAACATAATTAATTCGTCAAGTATGTGATTAAGTAAATTGAACATTATCAATATGTGGTTAGGTAAATCAGGCTTGGAATAAATTAAAAGTAAATTGTACAGTTTATCCACGTGCAAGTTTTATTGTTATTTGAACAGATCTTCGTCATTGAAGACCTTGGAACGTATAATGATCTACGAGCAATTATTTGCATGTATTAGTCTGCTAAAACTTAACTAGGCACATTTTTGCTATAGTTTTGCATGTGGTACTTGAGCGGCATACAAATTAATATTTGTTCTAACGAGCGTACCTATTCTTGTTTCGGTTATGAGTACATGACAAAGACGAGATATTTATGTATTTGCTTTACAAAATACGTTTTTGAGGTACACATCCTAAACAATACTACAATTTCCTATGTAAGTAGGTGCACGCACAGCCTTCCTGTATGACAACATATGTGTGAAAAGTCGTGCTCTGCAGACTCCATGATCGGGGTTTAATTCACAGAAATCAGAAAACATTATTTTATGTAGTTGTGAAATGTCCATTGATAATCAAGTGGTTCCTTTGGGTTGACATAATGAGTCTAAATGTCCACGTAACAGCTGTATATCAATCTAATGTACGTGTCAATTGATGCTCACTTCTATTTTAAGAACAGTGTCGGGCGATGCGCAAGAGCGTTCGAAACGCTCACTTTCTATCGTGTTTTAATTGTTATGTGCGCCCAGTAACACATGCAATTTTACGTGCGACAATGTTGTTATTCATTTACATTGAACACGGATATCATGATTTTTATTTCGTAGGTTTCCAAGCGATATTTATTCTTTTTTGTTTGATAAGTCAGACACCCTGCTTAATGTTTGCTAGAACGTAGATAATTCAAGTCTACTAAAAAGAAAACCACATAGAAACGAATGGGACATTTTAATGAGATTTTCCTTGTTAATTAATAGGCTCTGTTTACTTATTGACATTACAGGTACGTGTGAAAATACTTAGAATGGTCGCGACTGAAATGACGTCAATAAGTACGTTGTATTGTGGTTATTCAATTTAATTGAGCAGGATATCTAAACTTAATTGAGCATAAAACCTTAAAAGCATAAAAGGAGTACTCGTACAAAATATAATTAAAGAATAACTCGTAGGTATGTTCCGGGGTCGTATGAAAAACGGGATATGAGAAGGACAGTGGTGAATCAATAGTTTCGCCAAGGCTTCAGATTGTACTCTCTCATATACTGTGACGTACTGTAAGTGCCTTCCTGGAGATAAATAATTGAAAGCTTATTACTTAAGGTCAACTGTGTATCTTTATTTATGATTTTAATGGTAGGAAATGGTCATTACTGTGACAAAGTGGTTAATTTAGTGCTTTGCATATGGCCACAGGTCAAGAATATTTTTGAAATTTATCGAATTACATGTACGTTCTCTTAAAGTTTTCTGAATAATGTTTAATTGCGAAAACTTTGTTCAATTTTCTCTTTCGTTTTTATTAGAAATTATGTATGCAGTTACCTTGAAAACAAAAAGTAGAATTTATTTGGTAAAAAAAATACGAATATTTTTTTTAATTGAGTACTTTTTTATCACCATTTTATTATAACACACCTCTAAAGCGATTTCCTTCAACAGAAATTAAATTTTGCATATTTACCTATCATTTTCTTTTTCCATAATGTTTTATTTGGTAACAGCGATCGGTCAACAATTGTGGTTTCACTTCGGATTAATTTGCATTTAAAATAGAAGTATTAGAAATGCCCACATGCTGACCTTAGTTCAAAATTAATTATTTTTAAAAGAACAGCTTCAATAAATTAAATACATTATCACTATAAATGCGTTGTTACTTGAATCGCAAAATCTTCAATGAAGCCGTCCTTTACTGTGTTAACGTGTGTGAAATCGTATGGAAGTAATTATTATGCTACGCATCATACGTCGCTGTGAATTAAGGATGTTGTCGAAACGGCTCCACTAATCCGTGTTATTTTTAATAAATTGTTACGTATCATGTTGGATAAGCACTGATTGATGTACGTAAACAACTAAAGAAGTTTATTAGAACTTGAAATAGGTTCGTAGATACGTTTGATTAGAATTTGTTCTTGTAAAGATTTTCTATTTATCTCGTTAAGTACGATATTAAACACATTGTATAGAGTTTGAATATGTATCAATATCGACTGTAAATGGTTTTAAATCGTATTAAAATAACAACTATTTTCATGACTTTTAACTTTTGTAGATAGATAAACATTAGCACATAAACCTTGAAGCATATTCACAGCTCGAACTACGTTTACTAATAATACATTTGATTTTAAAATTGCAACATTGATCCTACCTCGCGCCAGCTTCATCACGAGCCTCAACTGGAGAATGGCTGTCTGATACTAACGCTCAATTTAAGCTTAGTCCTTCGTAGCGTTTAACACACAACCTCAATAAAAGAAGCTTTATATGATGCTTATCTTATATTTTTATAAGTATTTGCTAAATCGAGTATTCAAACCGTACATAGAAAAATAAAATATATTCATTGTGGACTTGTAGTTAGCCAAGCACGCACGGTTTAATAGTTTCATTTTTATATAACCAGGCAATAAATGAAAGTATACCGAGGGTTCACGGTCAGTACGGTTATGAATAAGATTTTCGGAATGAAAGTTTTGGTACATTGGGTCCTTTTCAACAGATCTGATCCAAAATGTAACGATTATCACAATAAGCACGTGGTAACTCTATGTAAACAAAGAATTGCGTTCATATTTCATAAGAAGATGTAATACCAATGTGACGTAATGAAGCCAAAACGATGGTTTAGCTAATTGTTTTTTCTTAACTTATAACCGCAAATGCGTCCATCTATGGTCTGGTACCTGCTGGCACATACGTGCGTCGGCCGAACGTGTGGAGGTTTTGCAACACGGGCCGGTCGCAGCCCATCGGGCCGCGTACTGCACTCGCTTGCAGTTGCATAAACGGAATTGCGACACCCGCGTATCGCGGTCACTGCCGCTGTCGACGCTACCACTTAGTTAAGGGCACCTGCCGCACCCTTCGTGCCTTGTCGGACACACCACTGCTCACTGATTCAATGGACCAAATTATAAAATATAACTGACTCAAGTCTAGATTACATATCAATTCTAATACAAATCTGTGCAAAAAGATTGCAGTAACTATATAGCAAACAAATTCTATAAGTTACTAAGCTTGAACATTTTGATTGATTTTAATGATTTGTAGCTGTTATTTATTGTGTGTATATTGTTTAATTACAGAGAGTCACAACATGCGGCCCTGCTTGCGGGTCGGGTGGTTTCAGCGCGGGAGCATCGAGCGGGTTGGTGCGCCGCCTCGCATCCAGCCTCCAGAGCACAAGCACTGGCTCCCTACCAGATTACGGCACACAGATCGTCGACCCCTATCGCTTACTGGAAGACGACCTCAATGGAATATATGAAGACATCAGATCCGTAAGTGCAACGTTTATTTATAGCTATTGCGTGGAACTCAATTCATTAAAGGTGATTAATGAACATATAAAACGCTAAAAGGATATTCTTCCATTATTTCTAAAGTATTTTTACATCAAATTCTAATTAAATCGATTGTCTTCAATTATTTCAAATTTAAGTTACAATTGAACCTTTGTACGATGGGATTTAACATTATTGCTAAATCAATTAAAATTATAAATCAAAGGGTGACACAGCGCATAGGTACAATGACTGTCATCAGCGTCATCAACAGTCACAGAATATCGTATCTGATTGACTTTGTAATTACAATAAACAGCGAGTAATCGACAAAAGTAGACTGATCAATGTGTCATTCATTGTATCATAGGCCGCGATATAAAAGGGAACTCTTTATGATCCCATCGGTCGGCAGTGTGTCTATTGATCGACAATTGTGTCAAAGTCACGACGTGTTAGCACGTTGGACAGTTCGGGTTGTGCAATTGGCGCTTCGGCGGTAATTGAGATCTGTGGCAAACAATACGGTTAACTGTAACGCGAATTACACGCTGACTTCGCAGTTTGCTAGATATCACTGCACTTAATCGTACAAACCTGGTGCATACAAATGTCCGTAATCCTGAAAATTCAAAGAAATATAAATACAAAGACTACTTTAACGACATCGTTTTGAAGATTTTCAATTGGGCCTTGGTGGCTCATAGAAATTCACTGCCAAAAATGTCTCACAATTATTGTGATTAAATGACTTCAGGGCACTGGAGCATGAGGGTCTAGAATGTAATTGCAGAAACTGACCTTAAAGCAGTATAAACACCAAAATTAATGACATCCTCTGTATTGTGCTCGACGCCGGCAACCTCGCCGGTGTTGTATGGTTGCGCATTTAGCTCAACTGAACTTTTGACAACGATGTTGCAAAACGTTGCAATGCACTATACTCGAAGTGTATTTACGTTCGAGTACCGAGTGCTTAACTGCGATTCGCTATCCCTCTTCTGTATTTATATTGTGAGGTAACCGCTCTTTCTTCCTGGTTCATTTAGTTATTATTCAAAACATTGCTTTATACCTTGAGCATTATTAAAGAAAACCAAAGGAATGCGAGAAAGAGGTTGAAGAGTGAATAGTGACATCGGTCCTAGTGTATCACCACCGTTTGTGATGGCAATGCGATGCTAGATGCTCGTTTGCCTACTTTCTGTTTGGAAAACTCGTCTAAAACTAGGCCCGTGTGAATGCTGTACTGGCAACTTGTATATTTCTACATGATCATTTCCTCCACTTTTGTTGCCATATAGGCTGATTTCTAGTTTTTACTCAATCTTAGTTTTACTACGACTTGTACAGACACGAATTAATGATGATATTTCTGGTTTGGTGAGACAAGAAGAAGATCTCCTAATTATATTGCGTTTCGAGCTGCTCTGGTTTAACTTAGTTAAGTCCAATCAAGCAAAGTGACGATATTGATTGATTGATTAACCGTTAAATAAGTAACAATAACTGGTGTTGTTACCGTAGACAATGTTATTAATATTGTTTTATTTTTTGCTAAAACTAGTTTAACGCCTTGTTTACATTAGTCACAAAGCAAATTGTCTCCGAGTAAGTAATCATTTTCGTAATTAATGGGTCTCGCAGTGCTAAGCAATGAGTGGGAAATGGAAAGTGTGGCGTGGAACAGCGCTAAACTTGAACATTGACCTTGTTTCCAGACCCGGTACGCAAAAACAACTAACAAGTATTCTCATTACTTCGTTTCCGTTACTGACTTTAGTTTTACTCAATTAAATTACGGGAAAACTTACAAGGCTATTTCTATTTACACAAGAAAAACTGAAACTATTGCACTAACCGTAACGTAAAGTTCACGATTCCTTTAAAGTATTCGGCACAGTGGCTTCAATTATCAAATGATACCGGGCAATTCCACCTGGTCAGTCTGATGTCATATTTCACAATAAAGGTATTGTGTTAAATAACATTTATTAGATTGTCGCTGTTACATTATAATTTACTGTTTCCTATATGACTGAAAATTACCTGTCATTGTTGGTTTTACAGTAGCAAGGTTGTAGTATTGGCATCATTGTATTTATGTGCAAATAAACTTATTATAGGTGTACTAAACGTAACTGCCAGTTATTTACTAATAACAAAACAGTCAATGTGACATTGAGCATCATTTGCACTTTGCATTCCTTAATGTCGTCTGGGTGAATTATTTTACTTTTAAATAGTAATAAAGTATTTTAGTTACTATCTACCAACTAAAACTTGACTTGTTAAATATTAATGACTGAATGATAAGTATGTAAGTACGAAAGTATGATAAGTCATTAGTTTGTAATTTAATATGGATGTGCGGACGATATTTCGCGTATGCGTATGATTTTAGTTCTGCTTGGCACTGTTTGAAAATATACTTACCTAAAGTAATTGATACAAGAAAATTGTGTTTACTAACCAAACAACACTTTGCTACTATCCGGTAGAAATCAAAATAATGCCGACCTTGAAAGGGGTTCACACAAAGATAAATTTATTTAAAAAATTACTATGACTGTCAAATTAAATTGGCATATCTATTATGTGCTTACGTTTATTGTACAAGGAGGAAACCAAGTATTTTTGAAAGTGAAATTATTTATAACCAAAATATTTCGTGGAATAAATAGACTGGCAGGCAGCATAAATTGTTTTGTTTTTAAATTAAAAACAGCAGAAACTAAAGTTTCGATCTACGGTTCTTTACCGTACCCTTGATAGATCTTAAGTACATACTTGCTAAAGGAACTCCTTGGCTCCATAGTACATCAACAATCAAACAGTGAATGATGCTACTGCGCATGATTATGAGCTAGTAGAAGGTTAATCTCATTGTAGGACTTAGATTTCGTAGTGAGAACTGCGTGATGTTTTGTATATGTACGGTCAACAGTAAGTGAAGGATCCATTCTTCAAATATTTACTTTTATGTTTAGTCAGATTCGAAACCTTAGTCTATAATTACCGTGTACGATACGTAACAGATAGTCACAATTTTAAGATATTATGTACATTGCTTTGATTTTCATCTCAGTCTTTGCTAACGAATCTCAATGTCGGATTAGTGAGATTGCAAAAGGTTTGAAAATTAATTTATGAATATATTTATAAATATTTATGTCACAACCACGTCAATGGTTGAAGATTCGTGTTATATAGAAAGGTTTGTTTAGAACGCACCAAAGACTAGTTAGTTTACAATGATAACGTATTTAACAATGCTGCTTAAATACTTATTATTTATAGTTGTGTCCGTGACTGTTTCCAGTATTACCAAACTGAAGCCTTAGGTTATTTATTTAAGGAAGTTTGCTGCAACGTTGGGTGCGCCTACACGTATATTTGGTAAAACTTACAAAACTTTTATGCTAATCTACTCATTTTACTACGTAGATATTAATATATTATGTAGTATTTTTACTATCACATCTGATTATGAAAATCACAGTCACAGATATTATCTGTGATATAACATCTACAACTGTTAAACCAGTATAGTTATGGTTTATAAAATCTAGTTTTTATTTTACAACAAACGCTCTTTATCAATACAGGTCACCTGTTAACGATTTAGTATGATTTTGCATATAAACTTCGTCGTCGTAACAATAAAATTGATGTTCAACAATCATAATTGAAAAGGTTGTACCAAAAGTCGCATGGCAAGAGGACACTTGCGTCAAGCTTGCGTCAATGTGCAGTCGATGGTGGTTACCACACCGTCTAGCTGAAAACAACCACCGAGTCCTTCAGGCAGTTGCAAATTATCTCTGTTGTAACACCGTTTAGAATGCCTTCTACGGTCTCAACAAATGCGTATCATAATAATTAGCACTTACTTATTTTTTACGCGAACAAAATCCAGTGTTGGACTTTAAAACATTGTAACAATTCATCTTGCTGTACTTGGTAGATAATTAAATTAGCTGTAATATGATATTTATGTTGTACATACTTGCCATTCAGACCGTTAAAGAATCTACTTCATTTCGACCGATAAAATCAAGAGCGTGAATTCTCTTATAACTAAGTACATATCTACGATGTAGATGCTTACTTACTTTAACGTATAGGTACTTATTGAAGTTCAAAAACATGTAGTAGAAATATAAATAAAAGAACGAAATCACATAATTATTGACTTATGCGATCTATTTCAAGTGAGCTGATAATAAAATGGAGCGATTGTCTGATAAAATGAGCACAAATTGTTATCGTGTAGCCATTGTAATTCATTTTAATATTTCGTAGCAAGTGCTACGAGACTGTAGCGCGTATAATTGCTATATTATATCGAAAAACACACACATCTGTGGTTATTAGCAGACTTATGACATTTAATGAATATAGAAAGTGAAGGAAAGAGAAATGTCTCGCTTTATAAGATGACTCATTTGTCGCTATAGTGAAATTGTCAATACAACCTATACGATTTCTTGAAATCTAATACTAAGCAGCAAGAAAGTGGACAATTTATGTAAGAGATTATCGTAATCTATATTAAAGTATATCGATATCAATGAGTTCACAGTGCTGGTTCACTTGGTTATCGTGTTTGTCAGTTCTAATCAACTCGTATGAAATGCGATAGAGTTCGCATTTAACCTAGAGATTTTATCAGTGCAACGACTGTAGATTATGGTGGCGGCATATAGTACTCAAAACATTAGCGTTCCCAAAAATATACAAATGTAAATGGTCTTACACTTGAAAACAATTTACGCGATTTTAAATTGTCAACGTCTTTGTTGTGAACTTGAGATTAATTTGCTTAATTCGAAACATGAGTTGACTTAAAAAAAGTTAACTCATCTGCATATGACCAGAGGCCTTAGTATGAGTTTGTTTTACGTTTAAAGTAATCGTAACGAGTACGCGTTCGGCGCTGTGATTGGTTGGTTCATTGGTGCCGACCAATCAGAGTGCCAAACGCATACTCGTTTCGAATACTTTAAACGTAAATCAAACTCGTACTAAGGCCTCTGTTGTATATTTGCACTTACATAGGTAATCGTATATTTAAAAGCAACCAAACACTTGTATATATATCACCTCTAAATTACTATTTGAACAATATCTAACGTAATTATTTTATAGAGCAACGCCATCTAATATGTTTTTTGATATTCATTTGGATGTGATCCCAACTCGACTGTAGCCCCTTTGCCCGACAGGAGCTGGAGCGTAACACCAACCAATCAGAACTCAACACCATAGCCACATACTACTTCGATGGTCAGGGCAAGGCGCTCAGGCCGATGGTGGCCATACTCATGGCGAGGGCCGTTAACTACCACGTCTATGGAGAAAACAGGTATGTATCTACTATTGAAATGTCACGTTTAAACGCTTGCAATATAATTTTGAATACATAATTTACGACTTCAAGACATGATTGGATGACATGCTTATTGCTTATGTAATAATACAGTTTATAGACAATGATTTTAAATCTGTCTGACTCCGATGTAAAAGCCATATTATAGTCAAACATACATCGCCATAAAAACTTAACAAGCAAGAAAGAGTCCATCCATATTAAATCTTTATTTTTTTGCTATATTGTAATTCTTGTTTTATATTGTAACGCTATTGAATTAAATGGATTCTTTTGTGAAACAATGTGCTGTATCATGAATACTCATGCTACTCATAGTGGTAAGAAAGTAAAGAAAGTTAGAAAAGTCTGGGGTCACCCGCAATCTTGCTTTGTAGTACTAACCACAAGCGTTATGAGCGTAAACAATGTCTGATCACGTTGTGCTTCTTTACGATCCGAAAGAAAAGTACTTGAAAACTATGTACAATTTTAGCCTTGAAAGAGAGACATTGAAAATTAAAAGCCAAAGTGCAAAGGTCTCCCACATTGTAATTGACATTAAAGTTTTGACCACTCCCAAATGACCCGTAGCGTTACTACATAAATGTATAGCGGTAGTGTTAATATGAATGAACTTGATGAATAGGCATAATTGTACCTACTACTTGAGTAACATCGGTGTGAGAGTTGAAATTGCCGAAACATCTTCATCACTTATTCACACGCTGTTTCTATGGAAATATTTTTAGCAGTAGATACACTTAGACTATAGCGTCAAAATTATTGATTTCTGTAATGAATTTAAAATATAAACAAGACAAATAGCGTAGTAAGTGGAAGTGGGAGCGAGACTGATATCTAACTTTTATTTCCGAGCCTTTCGCTTAATTCATTGAACTTGTTGCCTAACAGTATCTGTTTGCCAACACTTTGGATTGCTTTCGGTCATCAGACCGTACGCTCCATAGTTCAATGTCTCGCTGAGGACCTTGAATAAACGATTTTTCAAAGGTCTTTATGTCGTCACATATCGCGAGACCATTTATTGCATTAAATCGAAGGTTGAACTCTATGGTCAGATATAATTAGATTGAAGAAGATTAGAACGTAGTAGATTTTATTTATCATAACTATTACTCTAGATTGTTTATGGAGTACTTGCGTGTTTTAATTATGTAGTAGTATTGTAATTGCTTTTTAATAAGAGTGCACGCATTGTTGTTAAACAAATTCTTTTTGCAAAACATAAACCACGATTCGTTGTCTGAAAATTTGATCGCCCAGCCATCGCTAATAGTTGGAAAACTAATATTTAGGACAGTATGTAACGTTTTTGGAACCTATCCACTATAAAGAAAGAAGTATATAGTTTCCTGAAATGTCGGACAATTAAATTATTTTGAAATCTAAGGTACAATATTCAAGTTTGCTTAATCTAAAAAGGTGAATGCTCATATTTTCTTTGTCCAACTTACATGGATTGTGAGAAACAGGTTGGAATACATTTATCTATCTTAAGGAAAATCTGAAGTTCTAAAAGCAGACGATTTTATTTTTGCCGTGAGTGCAAATAATTATAATAAATGAATAGTAAATGTCCTATTCAGGCATTAAACGCACGTGCTCCCTGTGGTTCCCCTCTAACACGTCCTGAATATTTTAAGTACTTTAACCACACGCATGATACTGATGACGATATTCAAACATGATCTTCTATTTAATTCTGAGTGGTATCGCTATTATTTAAAATAAGATGTCGTAGTTAATAATAGAAGAAGTTAAAAAGTAGTTGTCTTGCTGCAGGAATGAGTGGGCTAACACATGGCATCATATTATAGATACTCGTCTTCGAAACCTTCACGCGAAGTATCCCGCACATCGCGTGGTATGCGCAAGCAATACCAACCGCTAACCAAGGCTTTTCTATCTTATTGATGCAATCGCTACCTTTATTTTTCTCTCAAAATAAAAGCTAAGTATCACGAAACTGATGGTAATCGTACAGTTGTAAAACCATTAGAGTAGGTTGCAATTAAAATATTTGCGTGTGGCGTAAAAATGTAATAAGGATGAGTGCATACATATACATAGAGATTAAAAACAACAAAATTGAATAGTTTATAATTACAGACGATTGAATATTGTACCTTTCTTGTTTTGAACATGTCTATATAACAACATTGGTATTTCATCTCAAAGAAAACGACAGTTGTTTTACCAACAATTTAGCTAACAAAGAGTAATATATCATAGCTACTAGTTTCATGTCAGTTAACGTATGTAAGTAAATGTTGTAACAAAATCTCGCTTGAGTAGTTCTAATGTACGTAATTGTCTAGTTTTGAGTGCATTCATGGCTAACGGCGCAATGCTCCTGTTTGATTCGTAACTGCGCAGGTACTCGTGTACTGATTCGCTACCTAGCAATTAATTCGTGAATATTTTACTCATGATAGCAACATTAATAACTAATAAATTATAGTAATTTAAGGTTTGTACAAAGTTGCTGCAAATATTGACTAAAGAATTAAGTTCTTGTAGTCAAAAATGTATCTAAATTTTCAATCCAACTGTATTTGTCTCGCCAACAATACTAGCTAGCTAGCGACCACAATATTCTGTAATTCCATTTATAATATAGTCTGCAAATTAATAAATAATGCATCTTAGGTACAGCACACGTCACAGCTATTGCGAAGAACATGAAACATTACGTATTGTCCGATTATTACATTCACGTAAAACTTGTTGGAAAAACTTAACCATCAACTATTTATTAGCTAAACGTGTTCGGTATACATCTGACCGTGTTAGATCAACTGTTACCACGTCAAACACTTTGACGATTTTAAAGGCATTGTTTCAATATACTTCGTATTCATTAATTGTATCGTGGTTTATAAGAAACCCAACGTAAAAGCTAAATAAAAATATAATATGGACTATTATGATTTTCTATATGCAGATTGCAGATATGTTAAGTATACAGTGAACTTAGGTACTTATAAATGTTATTGTTTAATTATTTGCATACAATAAATGTAGTTGTTACCTTTAATGTGAAATTAATGTAAACAAGAACATGTTTTATACATTTCGTATAAGGTTTTTCACCTTTACTTATTGTTGAACAACTTAATTAATGTTTAATTTTGTGGTGCAGTGCATTGCTGCCGTCACAGCGACAAGTGGCGATGATAAGCGAGATGATCCACTCGGCATCGCTCATACACGATGACGTCATAGACCAGAGTGATTTCCGTCGCGGGAAACCCTCCGTCAACGTGCTCTGGAATCACAAGAAGGTAAAGACTTTTTTTTAATTAGTTTAATCGTCGGTATTGCCAACATTGCAGCGAGATTGTGCCAGATACGCTAGCTATGTACAAAGAGGCTGAACACCTTTTTCTCTATTTCCCAACTTTTAATACTGTACCAACAAGAACCTCGTCTTGTTCCCAGGATTTGTTTTAGTAGTACAATAGTGAGGTATTATTCTAATTTGGTTATCTGATTTAACTTTTGAGAATTTAATACGAGTACAGTACATGTAACGAAGTTTTCAAGTACATTTGTCAAACTCGAATTTTAATTAAAGTTTATCATGATCAACAACGTTCTCATTGCATGTATTTATAAAATGGTCGGTATCTTATTTACGAAATCATGGACCATATTAAGCTGGACTTTCTTAGAAATAAAACTATGCTTTGACATTAAACTTCAGTAGATGTCTACTGAACAATAAAGATTGTAATGTACTGAGAATATTCCATGGAAGTCGCGTTAATTCTGCGCGCATAGTGGATTCGTATTATCGTGTCGAACGATCCATCCAACATTGATCGTTTTATGTAACAGAAGTGCGTAAGTTTACAAGAATAACACATCGACATGTGTTCAGAATAGTTCCCCTAGCATACGAATGAACCGATATTTATGGATGTGATTGTCTTATGACATCGATAATTGTGGTTATCTTATGTAGATTGAAGCAATACTCTCGTAACTACGTGTGTGTGATTAAATTAATTTAATTAGTACCCAGCTTATGTACCTCATAACTCGTATTTACTTATGTGGTTATCTACGTTATTATACCATACCTACTTAATTTTATTTACTTAATCGATCAATTTAATACACTTTGAGAAATCATAATGAGAATTCATTTTCCAATTTATCAGACGTATGTTTTAAAACAGTGAGAAATATTATACATGTAAATAAAACTTGCCATTCGCACTTACATTCTAATGTAGTATTTCAACCAAATGCCAAATATCACTTCTAAAACATTTTTCAAGGAGACGTATTTGTATTTTATCAAGACTTTTTGTATCGGATTCATCAGGAAATTCAAAGCGTGATAAGAATATACAATAAGTGATTATTAAGATGATTATTTTAATGCTTGACGGTCCTGTTGCATGCCAATTTCAAGTAACATACAACCTTGTCATTGTATGGGACACTGTAAATAGAACAACTTACTGGTTCTGCTCTATGCTAGTAGGTAGCCTATTGTATTGGGATAAACCGAGTGTCGATTAATATGTGTACCATGTCTTCACGATCACGAGCCGAATGGAAAGTGCAAATGGGCTAAGTACATAAATAAGGAGCGGCTGTCTTGTCTGTCAATTCGTCTGTTACTAAGGCGGTGCCGAATATCTGACCGATTACGTACGTCACTATAAATCAATGCTTAAATGGCTCACCAAAATAGCTGCCTAAATATGCCAGCCGTAGTTTTACTAGCAAAAGTAATACAATAGAGCGCCCTCGTGCTCTGGTCGCTTGTCTGTAAAATCTGGGTTAAGATCACGATTCTTCATTACTCGTTGTATTATAAAATGATATCTTGACAACCACTCACGCGTCTATAAATTAATAGATATAGTCAAGGTCACAGCCCAGCCTTCAATGAATGTATAAGATTTTACTGAATAAGTTTACATTCTCTTCAGTTTTCACTGAACCATTAATAATAGCAAAATTTAGGACCAACAAACGTCGAAAAAAATTAAGCGTGTTGTCTTTAGCAATATTAGTTTAAGCTTTAAGTCGGCACACATTATTTACCCATTTGTTGTGCAAATATTTAACTTGGTAGATACACGTTCGTCATATTCAATTTCGTTTTCAACGTGACTGTAGAAAGCTGGTTTGACATGATTGTAATAATTATTCAATAAATCACCATTAAAATATTTATATTTTCACAATCATTCTCATTTACGAAATCTAGAGTTTATTTATGAGTTGAAGCAAGATATAGACGGAATCAAACCTAAGTACCTATTTAAATAATATACAGAACCGTAGTACACAATATTTAAATAATTCTACTAGAGTATGTATAAGTGTTTACCTAAGTAAACACTGATTTTATAATTCAGTCAATGAATACACACCCGAGAAAACCTGTTCTTGACTTGACCCACTTCGTGTTTCACCAAAGTTAATAAACTTCTTAAAGTCCAGGTTGTTGCCCTAAACATGAGAATAAATACTATATGTGGGAAGCAGACCGAGACATCTGCGGTGATGCCTCTATATAAAAAATATTATTATCGCATATATGATTATTCTTTTCTTTGATTTTATGAATGGGTGAGACGTTAAGGCAGTGTCGACGCTCAGTCGCGTAGTATTCGAGTTGTTGTTAGCTGATTGGCTCTGTCAGACAGTCTCACCTACTCGCACTGGGCCAAAAGGCGAGCGACCCTCGGTGAAAGTACCTCGCGGCCTCATCACACCAATAAAATTGTTTATACCGGCCTTTTTTGATGAGTCGTCGCGTTTTATGTTTTTTAATTAGAAACTATGATCATGTATAATTTTATTATAATGTGGCTTATAACGTTAAATTACACTATTTCTTATCAATTCATTATATTATCCGTAACCCAACAATACACTCATGCAATGTTTTTATTCAATCACAATAATCGTCCTCATAAATCTCCAAATTTTATCGCAACACATGTTTTGTGGGTACGTTATCGGATAATTAGCCTCAAAGCACTGTTATCGTGTTATCTGTAGGCCTAGTATTGAATGATTGTAAACAGAAGCTCCGAGCGTCGAATGACGTTCGTGACACGATCATTGTGTAATATTTCCCTCTTTAAATGAATATATTTGTTAAAGCTATTATGGTTGTTAGATCGGTCAAGGCAATTTTCGTAAGTATTGTCACAACAGAATAACCAATATTAGGATAGGTTTGAGTACCTACCATCCTACAAGTTGAAATGTTTTATTTTTTATTATAGACATAAATTCCCACATAGTTCCTTATGGACGATATGTCTTAACAAAGAATCGATGTGTTTTGAATAGAGATTAGTGTAGAACAAAGCATTTGATTTGATTTTGTTATTGCTACGAATCTCGTATATACGCTACGGGTGCTGAATGCTTTTATTGCATTGTACATTACTCGTTATCTTATTATATCTACTTGTAAGCAGTTTGCGTTTGCCTTCGTCCTTCACGAACAAATGCCTATCCTGCGATTACATCTTCCGGCGGTGTAATCTTCAGTGTGAAACGTTTTATGAATCGACAATGCATTTGATCGTACGTTGTGTTCTTCATCTAATGGCTTGATGGCGAGAATGTCCCATTAAACTTGTTGAATGTTGTGCAATTTGGGTCACGACCTTTGCTTTTCATTCACCTAATTTTACTTTGAAATTCATTATTTATTGTATTAGTAATTGAATTTATTGATTTAAAAGATATTAATTTTTTATTGGTTAATAGTATTTTAACCATTGAAATAATTTTGTGATGAATTGAAATAATACTACTAACGTAGTAAATTCTTGAGTTAGTTCATTTGTCTCGACACTACGGAACGGATGTTGTCATAGTTCGCTAATACTAATTTGGGATCTAATAACCTGTATTTGAGTTATATAATCCAAACATCCAAATGTTGGTCTTGGTTCAGTCTATACCTGCCATATACGTATGTATACACATATTTTGTGTAAATATGGTATCATGGTAATAGGGCGCGTCTGTTTGCATTTAACTCATTTATGACCATGTTGCTGTGCACGGATGTAGAATATTTACATTGCCGTAATGTGGACAAATTATCTGATATTTCACTAATTACGTTCTCTTTGTGTCAATAGATTACGATTAAGGATTTAACACAATTATATAACGAAACACCTTCGGCAAAGGTCCTTATTCGGTCAACGACAGCTGCAACTGCGGTGTGTCAAATATGTATGTATTCCTGCTCTATAAAAGAATGGTATTGTATAGAGTTGTACGACAATAGGTAGGAGTCCTCAACAACGTCAGTAGCGAATTTCCGATTCCTATCGTATCTGCGGCTATTGTTCAGAATATGTCGCGTACCTTATTGTTCACCTTGTCTGAGCTGTGTTATGGAATGACGAGTTTAAATGCAGAGCGTACGCGCTTGGAATTTATGTAAAATATGAAACATACCAAAACGTCTGGACAAATTATAATACAGGTATGTAGTATCCCACTTCTTGTGTGCTGTTGAAATAAATCTGTGTGTGTGTCTGTGTAGGTGAGGCCCTCTTGGTAAGACGCGATTTATTTCGTAGCGGGCGGGCTGCTGCGGCGGCGACACCTGTCTCTTTGTAATCTCACCTGTGTGGCTGTGCCCGACCGAAGCCGCCATGGTCTGACGCAACCTCGCTTTGTATTGACTATATGACATTACCATATTTGATCTTAGTTAATTTTGATTTCAGCTTACATTCAATACCGAATTTAAGTATTTAAAGTATTTAGTAGTGTTCGAAATTGGTTGACATTTAATGCATGCATTACGGTGTACCATGCGAAGTTATGCCTAAGCCTTAAAACGTTTAATAGATAAAAAATTTTGGTCAAAGTTTACAAGTTGTAATATGGTTATGTTTCTGTAACTGATTCTGTTTATGATATGTTTCTGATATGAACACAGAACGCTGTTATAAGTTTTGTTGTGTTGTAAATGCTTTCTAAAAAAAGTCGAATTATTGTTGATCGACAAAATGTGGCTGTGGGAAGGACACGTGTGAGCGGTGGCTTTGGGGCGCTGGAGCTTTCGTAGCTTTCACCGGGGAGTCGCGGGATGCGGGGCGTGGAGCTCCGTCATCTATCAACACTAACGGATGCCAGGTGTTCCGATGTACGCTCGCGTAACATTCACTTGATTACCAATACTTCATGAACCTGTTACGTTCATTGTCAATTCTTATAAAATTATATGAATTTTGAACTACGAATTAAATATCGACACATATAAAGGTTTAGATTT